CTGCCCCCCACCCCATCTGCCCCCCACTCTACCTATGCCCTGCTGCAAGCACCCCACACCCCACCTGTGCCTCAGGAAACACCCACACCCCACCTGTGCCCCACACCCCATCTGCCTTCCACACCCCACCTGTGCCCCTCTGCTGTCCCTACATGACACTTGTGTCCCCAAGCCGCCCAGTGTCAGCTGGGAGGAGGGAGCAGTATGGGGACTTCCCTTAAACAGTCAGTGCCCCAGAAGCAGCTGGCGGTCCCGAGGAAGGTGCCCTGCAGAAGCCCAGGCTAGACTCTGACATTACTGCTTGCTAAAGGGGAAGTGGGATGACCCAGGCCACCTGGGTTCCCAGGAACCAGGCCCCAAGCCTAGCTTGGTGGGTCTAGACTACCCATTTCATATATGGGGACACTGAGGCACATGGAAGTCTCACTCCAAATTCACATTTCTTTTTTTCTTCATTATTAATACTTTTGAGACAGTCTTATGTAGCCCAAACTAGCCTTGAACTCCCCTGCCTCAGCCTCCAGTGATGATTGGTATGAGAGGCTTTGCCTAGCTGGAGGCCACCTTTCTGAAGGAGACATTTGCTCAAACCTGTCCCCCAGCCCTGCTGCCAAAACACAGTGTCCATAACATTCTTACAAGACTGGGTCATTTTCAGTCAAGGGTGAGGGATTCAGGCTCAGCAAGGCTGGTCTGTCGGCAAAAGGGACCCCAAGAAGATATGAGCCCTTATCACTGTCACAACAGTGAAATTGAGGCCCAGAGAAGGAAGCTCCCAGGAATGCTGGGAACAGAGCAGGTCATGTGGTGGTCAACCACAACACAGGAGGTGACTGTGATGCCAAAATCAGCTAACATGTTAGGAGCGCCCACAAACACTGGCCAAACCACCATAGACAGTAGATGCAAAACCCTGGGATGCAGAGGTCAGCCTAGGCTACATGAGCCCATTTTGAGTACCTCCGGATTTTAGGGGCTGCACACAGTAGGTTCAACATGTATAGTATGGAGGTGTGGCTCTGCCCTGGCCAACAGACAGCTTAGTCACTCTGCACCTCAGTTTCCCCCGTGGCTGTCTAATGTTCTGAGTTGTGGAGACACAAGCAGACACCTGCAATGATAGAATGCCAAGGGTGCGGTGGGCGGACACTAGATGGACACTCAGATGGACACTAGACTTGTATCTCCGTAGCATATTGGTTAAACATAAAAAGTGCATGGGTGGTGGTGGTGGTGGTGGTGGTGGTGGTGGTGGTGGTGGTGGTGGTGGTGGTGGTGGTGGTGGTGGTGGTGGTGGCAGAGGCAGGAGGATCTCTGTGAGTTTGAGACCAGCCTGGTCTACAATAGCGAGTTTCAGGACAGCTTCCAAAGCCACAGAGAAACCCTGTCTGGAAAAAAAAAAAATTAAGCTAGGTAGTGGTGGTGGTGCACACCTTTCATCTCAGCACTCAGGAGGCAGAGGCAGGGGGAATCTCTGTGGGTTCTAGGCCAGCCTGGTCTACCTATCTAGATGCTATCTCAGAAAAAAAAAATACATTGTTTTTGTTGTCCCTAACAGCAGCACTGAGGGAGGGGAGATGGCCACCTTAATATCAACAACTGTGAAACAGCACCATGTCCAAGACAAACCATTCCATGACCTCAGCAGGGGTCAACCTGAAATAGCTGGGGGGGGGGGCACAACTGTTCTCTGGAGCTATCTCCAAGGGCCACCCAGGTAGGGGCCCCAATCGGAAACTGCTGTCACTAGCCCAGCACAGTGGGAGTTGGGGACAGGGTGTCTTAGACTCCCTGGTTTCCAACCTCTGCAGCTGGCAGTAACTAGCCCCAATGTCCCCAGGACACAGTCAGCCCTGCTTGAGGCACACAGCTGCAGACCCAGCTAGAGAACTAGAGAAGAGTTTCACTTTCTTTTTCCGTTGTTTTTTCTCAACCAGGGTCCCGTGCAACCCAGGCTGTCTACACCTTGAGAGTGCCAGGACAGGCAGCTTTAAAAGAGGACACATGTCCGCCAGTGTGAACCACTACTTTGTGACTGCACGACGAGTACAGCTGGGCTCCAGAGCAAAGGTGGCAGGTTGAGTTGGGACCCCTCAAGGACAATAGAAGGGGTGGCTGTGACTATGCCTGTGGATATTACCATAGCATTACCTGCTCTTCCAGGGCCAAACCCAGGGCCTTTTGCAGGAAAGGCCAGTGACCACGCCCCCAGCCCCCACTGTGGGACTCTAGGCGGGGCTCCACCCTGACCACGCCCCCAGCCCCTCACTGGGGAATTCTAGGTGGGGTTCCTCTCTGACCACGCCCCCAGGCTCTCCCCAAAACAAACTTTCGAGAAAGGACTAAACTGTCTGACCCCACTCCACCCTCCAAGGAGTCTCGATGGAAGGACCCCACAGTGCAGCGGCCCAGAGGTCACCCGAGCCAAGCCTGTGCCAGGCCGTGCTGCACAGGGTGGTGACAGGACTGGCAGGTCCCAGATGGGAAACTGAGGCTGTGGGAGGGGCCCCCGAGGCGGGGGGCCCCCGAGGGAGCCAGGCTG